GTGACGAGGGGAACGAGCAAGGAGCCGTGTGAGTACGTGAGGTGAATTTGGTTATGTACCTGGAAATCGTCTTCTGACGAGTCGTTATGAGGGGGACACTCAGGGGTAACGAGGAGGGACTTTTGGTGATGCCATCGCTGGAAAAAGCTGCGAGTCTCATCAGTTAAGTCAGGAGGGCTTATAAAAAATTGAGACTACCCAGAAAAAAATCCCTTCCACCTGGTGAATATCAACGGCCAATTCATTTCAATGCTAAATTACTCGATTCCATTTCATTCATAAATGGAAATGCTCATGGAGAGAATTCCATATTGGCAGAGAAGATTCTCCAGTTACTGTTGGTGCACGAGACTTTCAGATCAATTGAAAACTCGATGGGGGGTGAAAGAACCCAGTGTTATTCAATACAATGTTTTCCTTCTGTTTGATTATTTTTATTTGGATGCTAGTGCCTTCGGGCAATTGTTCCTTCGGGGAAAAAATTTTTAGCAACCATGCAGATTATTCTGAATACACAATAGTATCGTCGAAGGCGAGTGGGGCAGTGGTTAAACGCGCGAGCTGAGCCGTTTGTTCAAGATCACATTCACCGTGTCAATATAAATGTAAATGTCATTGAAACGGGGAGAGGGAATGGGGAATATCGTACAAAGCCCAGTCGCATACATCGAAATCCCCAGGAGTACGATTGAACACTACGAATATTGCGGATGGCCGTGTGGGACTTGGCCGCAATTGAATCGCCCCACGGATTCCAACCCAGAAATGCTGAGGATTATACTTTATTTTTGGGGATTGAGGGAGGAAGTCTAGGAGTGACTCATTCTCTCTGGGGATTTTTGGAAGAATTTTCGGGGAGAGAATTCCTCCAAATTCGTGATGTCAGCATTATTTGACGCAGATATGATCAAGCTCGTAAAATAATCGTTTACAGTGGAAAAGACATGCCTCATGATGACCAATTAATCCAGCCGATGCGCGCGCTTCTCTGAACCTGTGGCGCCATCTTCAACCGAGGTGGACGGATTTAGTCCGGATTTAGTTGTTTCATTCTGAAATAAAGAATTGTCTGAAAAATCGTGCGCGAAAAAATCCAGTGGCAAGTTCTTTCAGCGTAAGTCAACATTCTTTTCGATCGCAAACCAAAAATAAATCCCCTTTCCCACTAGATTATTCAAGCCCCTCGTGACCAGTTCCGAGGGACCTTTTCCCTCCCGCGAAATCCACCCACCCTGTCATCTGTTCTATTATTATTATTCCACACCGGCAACGATTCTCTCCTTTTCATCCTTCCGTATTATACTTTACACAGGTCTTATATTCTTTTCGGTCCGCGCATTTGCCCCCGAGCCACACACAGAGAGCCCTGGCGAATTTAAAACTCCATTTTGGAAGAGAGAGAGAGAGATAGAAAAATGGAGAGAGAGTCGAGGCCGGAAGAGACCAGGCGGGCTTTAATTTAAAAACTTAGCGTACCAACCACCGTACATTCGTGTTAAGTTTTCATTTGAGAGAAACGGTTGCCAGAAGTGGACGCTGGTACAAATACAACCGAGGCCGGTTGGAGTTGTATGAGTATATGGTCTGAATAAAAAAAAACCGGAGGAAGTTGTAAATGGATGGCTTCCAGGGCAGATCGGCCCCGGAGAGATAGAAATTGGGTAAAGTCACATCAGTACAGAATCGTAAAAATTTTTCCCCACTGAGGAATAATTTCAGAAAATCCTCATTGTTTGCGGGGGCCTCAATTCGCGTCCTCCCCCCTCTTCTCCCCTTTCCCAAAGGAGACGAAATAAAGTTTACAGGTTAGCCCTCTCCCCCTCTCACCACCCACCCCCACGGACTCTTGCACAAAAGGTTTTAAAGAATATAGCCCCGCGATTCCTCTTGGATAGCGAGAGTTTCACAGCTATGCCAGCCAAGTTGGAAAACTTATTTCACTGTATGCTCCCCCTACTTGTGGCCGGGGTACTGTTATACGCTTCCACCGTATTTTATTTAGTCCCCGGGAGAAGTACAGGCTGTGTATGGTGGAGCGGTCGTGAAGTCGACGAGGATGACGAGCAGAAGAGGAGTAAAAAGACGGGGATAAAGTGGAAAAATGGTATGGAGTGGGGAAAAAAAGAAAGAAGAAAGGGAATAATTCAAAAATGTTATACAGCGAATGAGAAAGGCACGGAGTACGTTATTTTTCATTATTAGTGTAGCGCTGGGGGATGCCTGTGGTAATTTCACCGCTAATTGTCAATTTTCCAACACCACGGAACAGTCGGTTCAGCTCCCTGGTGATTAATTTCATCACTTATATTGTCGTTGGCTAGCTGGACGTACCTTAATTTCATAATTCCCACCCAAAACTGCGTCTCGGGCTATCGTGGATTATTAATTTAATCTCGGCTGTTGAAGTAATTTCCCCGAAAAGTGCATTTCACGGTAATTCGGGTGGGAGGGGATAAACGTACACCGAGAAAGAATGGAAAAAGTACTTTTAATTCTTGGTTAATCGTTGTGATTTTACCCAGGAGTTTTTGGTAGTGGATGGGTATGAGTGAAATGGCGTACAATAAAAGGGGCACAGGGCTTTCTGAATCGGCGGACAGTTTTCCCACGCCACTTGGGAGTCGTACCAATTTGGAAATGAATATTTCGTCCCGTTATCTCACTCCCTTCGGGCCAACACCCCCTGATACCTCTAAACCATACACCGTTGTCTTGCACACCACCTACCCCTACAGTCTACGCGCATAAAGACTGGGTAAATTAACTCGGCTGAATGTGAAATTGAATTTATGCCCTTATAAGTTTCCTTCATTTCCTTGACCCCACGGGACTACGCGCGCAGTCTTTCCTCATCCTCTTGGGCTTTGTTTTTTTCTTATTCCTGAGTTACCTAGGCGTGAAGTTATTAATTAAACTCGATCCTAACCTCGTCCATATTCCACCCGGCAATCTTCTTTATGTTGTTCTCTTTATAAATTATTTTTTACGGCCCACCGTCGCGTGAAAATAACGAATCAGATCGAGTGGGTTAATTGAACAAATCGCTTTGACCTGCTCATTTGACCCACGCATTTGACCTCTAGTTTTATCCACAACATCCGGGTAATCGACCTTTCTCCACCCTTTTCTCATCCATTTCTTTTACCGGTATGTGGACACCGGATAGTGCTGTATCGAACGAGAATAAATGGAAAACGAGACGAGTCTCTTCAATGTTACGGGTCACTTCAAAGTTGTGGATTTTCTCCCTCACCTTTCACTACTCTTTTTCTATAACCCAGGCCCATTTCCAATACTTTTGAAACGTTCCTGAAACTTTCAACATCACGACACTGAGAGAATGAAATAGAAATGTGTGTGCAGTTTGTCGTGTACTTCTGGATAGGGGTGGGCTTAAGGGGGAAGTAAAAATAGATAAAGTAAAAGCATTTTGTCTTCATGTATTACATGCTCCATGTGTACACAGGAGTCCTTCCAGCACTTGAGTTAATTTCCAACCCTCGGAATGGCGTACGTGTTGAGAGAGGCAGGCTACATAAATACTGGATATATCTTAGTTAATCAGAATTTATGAAATAATTTCCTCGGGAATTTACGGAGGTTTTATTGGTGTTCGCTGGGTAGCAGGGGAAATGGTCAGGGGACAAACGACATGACAAGCGATGACAGCTTTTCTTCTCCGGTGAAATCGTTCGGTTATTTTTAGCTTTATTTTTTTTTTTTTGATTAATGGTTTGCAGATATCACAGCCAACTTTCTCAACCGTCATGGGAGACTCGGGAAGGAGACGTGGGTTTCTCTCTTTATAATCGCTCATTTCTTGTATACACTTTGCCGTGTAAACCGATGGCAGGACACACCGGGGAAAGATGAATTGATACGAGTCACGCGTGCTTTATGATCGGATGACAGTTGTCAGGGGTATGACTCCCCCAAGTCAATCGATTGTCGCCATTTTTCCGCGACAACACCCCGGGTGAAAATAAATTGTAATCGAAATATAATTTTTCCAAATTTTCAATAAATTTCTGGAAAACTTTTCAGATAATTTTTTTATGAAACAAAAAAAAATTGGAAAACAAAATAATTTTATTTTTGGGAAAGGTTTTGACAAAGTTTTCAAAAATTTGAGTGAGAAAATTATTTTAAAAAATTTCAAAACATTTCCCAAAAATACAATTGTTTTGTTTTCCATGTTTTTTTTTCCAAAAAATATTTGTTTTTTTGTTTTCAGAATTTTCTTGGAAATTTGGAAAAAATATTCCGATTACAATTTTTTTTTACCCCGGTCATGAAAAATCAAAAAAAAAATAATGACAATGGCGATTTTTTCCCCTGCGTAATGCGAAAAGAGCTATTTGAATTCAATTGTATTGTACTACTGTGAAAATTTACGATCTTTTTGTGCCCTTTCGAACGACCAAAAGGTTTTACGATTGTGGCTCACTTCCACTGAATTTTCAATCAGCTTTCCAATCAGTAATCATACTTCAATGTCAAATCTCAAGTTTGATGGACTGTCCACGGAATTGAAGGCCGGGGGTTAAATTCCAGTCGTGATATCGCGAGAGAATACGAAAAAAATCCAGGCACTGAGTGATCTTTAAAGATGCAGACTACACAGCCACCAAGAATTCACGAGTGAAACTACTTTTATCTTCTGGTCACGCCTCCATCCGCCGTGTCGAGATGTGGCTCGCGAAAAATCCCGTTTTTTAACCTCCGGCACTGGTAAAATGCAGGAGGGCCATCGCCCTGGGAATCACTCGAGGGCTTTTTTGTAATCGAGTCTTCTATCCGGGCCTTAACCCACCCCCTCAGGTATTCTCCAGCGCTCGGCAAATCTAATTGCTCTCTGTGCAGCGGGCAGAATAATTTTCTGTCTACGCGACAATTTTTTTTCCTCTTCAACGTTTGTGGAATGCATTAATTCATTCAGCCACGGAGAAGAGGTTGTCATGCCCTTTTGACTAATTTCGGTTGTTTTTATTCTGTTGCAGGACGACGAGCGCGAAATATCGATATCTTGGACGGGGGATCGAGTCATCGCATGCTGACGCTCGATACCACTGCCGAAGATTACAACAACTGTAAGTAAATTTATTTATCATCGTCATCAGTATCTATTTATATTTGATCATCCCCCAGGAGTTAGTGATCCCCTGCAGCTGATCAATGACGCGAAAAACTGGCATTCATCACTTTGCCAGGATTTTTTCGCCCACTCATGGAGGAAATGGCCATACGGAGATTTTCTTGCGATTTTTCATCTCATTCGTTTTTTTTTCTTTTCTCTATCTTCTGATTCCTCTCTATTGCGTTGTGATGCCTCGCGTGTGGCACGAATTCGAGGGTGAAATATCAAGAAAGCTTCCTCCCGATATCGAGAGGCAGACGGAATATCACATGATGCACACGGATAATGATTTCTGTTACAACCATTCTTCACTTGATAAGTTATATCATTTGGGGGTGTAGCTTCGTCATGATTGGGATACTGGAGTAATGTAACTACTACACCCTGTGATTCAACAAACTTTAATGCAATTGCGGATATAACTCGGATATTAGTCACGCATTTGGAATTTCCGGGTACTTGTTTCAGTGATCAACGGTGTAATATGTTTGGTGGAGAGGTAGACTTGCTGAGGCCTTCTGTTTATCATGATTGTCGACTCAGTAATGTTGACTTGTTGTGTACTGTATCTCGTATTAGACGTGAATTCGAGGCACTTTGTCATTCCCATGTAAAGTTTGATGAGAATTGTGGAAACGGGCAGATTTACCCGGGAATATTCGATGATGTCGTGAAAATTAACCGATCTGATGTAAATATTTCATTTAACAAATCCATTGTTCCTCCATTTTCTAAATGAATACGAGATGTTTCAAATATCAAAAATGATTCACATGCGAGAAATAGAAGAAGAATAACAACGATATCGGATTTTCCTCCTGACAGAGATTTATTCTTTTTTTTTTTTCATTTATGATTCTTGATTCCATCCAGCCTGTGACAATGCGGGTATGAAACACGATCATTTCGGTACAAATGATGACATGCAATGCATGAAAGATATCGGTGTAATAGGCAGATCTGAGGTGCAAAATAGTGGCCAGTAGAACGTGATGAATGTTTTTGAGTTGCCAGTGGCTTTCTTTCTCATTCAAAAGTAAAAAAAAAAAAAATAACATGCACAAAAGCAAGTGCTCCGGCAATTCTCGCACAAAGACTCGGCACGTGTGACTGAGCACAAGTTTTTCGTCTCCATTCTCCCCCAGCATTAATGATATCGTTTTATTTTCAACTCGGCTTTCTTCATCCACTTTCCCTCATCGTTAATACCATAAAAACATGATATTTTAACATGACTTTAAAAATGTCTTTTTGTTCTACCGTAAAAATTTAATATTTCACAATTTATTTTCATCTCGACACGTACCAGCAACTTGACGCAAACTCGAGGCTCTTGACGTCTCGTTACACACCGTGAAAAGTTGCCGGTTGGTGAGAGAGTGAGCGGTGAAGAAAAAAAAAAATCATAATAATAATAATAATGAAAAAAGAGAAGAGAAAAAATGAGGGAAGAATCGCGTGTGCATTCAACGTCACTTTTTGAATTATTTTATTTGGCATTTCTCACGGTGGGCCTTCATTCATATTCATACCGTAACCCAGGTACTTCGTCTTGAAAGTACTACATACCCTCTACCCGACTTGTGGTCGACTAGTGTCGAATAACTTTGTGTACCCACTCGGTGTGCGGTGTGTTGGGCGAATACTCCGGCAAAATTCATGCACGCCACGATCTTTGATACATCTGCTTGGACAAGTTATATTTTATCGAAGTTTTCGGGAATTGGAGTCATCAGTGAATTTATGGATGAGGAGAGGTCTTTTAGAATTTTTTTTTTCCTTTAATCCGATGAAATGAGCGAAATGAGCAAAATGAGCGAAATGAGCGAATCGAGCAAAAAGAGCGAAATGAGCGAATCGAGGAAAATCGTTAAAATTAATTGAATCGAATGAAAAAAATTGACATGCGTAAGATGAAGAGTAAAAATGTGAATTTGATTTAAATGTGGACAGGAGCGAAATGAGCGAAATGAGCAAAATAGGAAAATTAATCAAAATTCATTGAGTCGGATAAAAAAAAAGCGATATCAGTAAAATAAAGATTGGGAATGTGAATTTAACTGATATATCGACACGAGTGAAAAGAGCCAAATGAGCAAAATGAGATAAATTAGCGAAACGATCTGTGCGTATTTACACTGACAGTAATACGATTGCGGAAAAAAATAAGTTGAGGACAAAATATTTGTTCCATTACTCTTTGCCTCTGGTCTCATCGAAATTACAGGCGGTATGCCCATAATTCGCAACCTAACCCGTCCGGAATGATTGAAACAGTTGCAATAATTCGGTACCCAGTTGCATCATTAAATGTGCAATTTAGTTTACCGATGTCCATTACCATCAACAGGTTTCCAAAACACGGTTTCCGGAATTCCAAATGACTCACAAATCACCGGAAAATCGAAATATTTCACGGAAAATTTCATGAATTGCTCATTATGTCCTAATATAATTCCCAGTATTGATGACAAATAAATGATTGGAGATGGATAATTAATCGGTCCTCCCGTCATATACAATAAAATAATTGCAAATATTCGCAATTAAATTAGTACAATAGTTGTCGGGCAAATACAACTCCGGGTCAGTGGAAAATTCATCAACTTGGAAAGATAAACAAAACTGGAATATCTACTTTGACTATTTCATTCACGACAAATCATAAATGTATGTCGTTACATGAGCAAGTTATCCAGAAAAAAAAAAGTTTCCACTCCATATTCACATAGACTGAAACTGGGGTGAAATTATATTCCTGAGAGTTGGCACACGCGGTCGGGCTGTGTCAGACAACGGGTGAGAATATTGCGACGAATTGTACACAGTTAAGCGGTATGATATAGGGAAACATGGAGTATAGCTCCCAGAATGAAACTCGTCGAAATTCATTAGTGGGCTACACCAGGAAGTCATTAACAAACTGATTAACAAGTTGAAATTATCGCGGATGTGGAGCAGCTGAGTATTTGCCAAAGACTGGATGAATTCTGATTAAACTTTTCCCTTTTTTCCACAACGCCCATTGGCCAATTATCTCGGCATATTATTTTTCATAATACCATATTAATCCATTAATTAAAACTAAATTAATACTCCAATTTGAGAGCTGTTCTCTATTCGGAGGAATTTTTAAGATATTCCGGAAACGTCGAGTGATCAATCCGGAAGTTCTTGAAAAAGAGTGAGTGACAGTAATAAGACCGAAATAATTACGGAGCATTACCATATCATGAGAAATATCCGGAAATAAACGGTCGCATAATGAAAAACAGAGCAGCTTTTATCATCACAGCTCCACTCCGCCATTATCCCCAGTCCTCAACAATAATACACCCCGAACTCGGTATAAACAAACAAGACAGTGGCTCCAACCGTTGTCCATTGTTTTCGCATTTGACCCGGAGGCAGTCGGACACTGGTCCGTTGATCGGATGTTTGATTCCCGAAATGACAAAGACCACTGGCCGAATTCGATTTCAGGTCAGTCCTCGATTTTCCCATTCCCCAGTGTTCAGGCCGATATGATGCTCGTAAATCGCTGAGATTCATAGTCCACTAAAAAGCACGTCCAGTGCCACGAACCAGAGGATTATCATTGAGCATTAGCCTTTGCTGGGCCAGGGTACACCAAGCCAGTGTGCTTCTACTCTAATGGCTATAAATTCTCATTTCACACTGGACAAAGAGATTAACTATGATCACACTGAATATAACGTACCCCTTTCCGTCCTGATTCTGTCCTTCCGTTGGATTTTTTTTTTTGAGATACTTTACCGCCGCTGCTCACCCGAGGAATTGCCAATATTTAAATCTTTAATTCGTCGGCAATCACATTTTTTTCCCGGGCATCAACAGTTGAAATTTCGATTGAGCGAAATGAGCAAAATGAGCGAAATGAGCAAAATGAGCGAAATGAGCGAAATTGATAAAAAGTAAAACTTGAAATGTTTTTTTTTCATCTCATTACAATCCCCTTCTTTATCATTCCCAGAACTAACCATCAAACCGGTTATCGAGTTTCTCCCACTGTGGCAAAGGTAAAAACTGAAAGCCAGGAAAGTAAATACACTTTACAAATGAAAGACTCCTGCGTAAATGTCTCTCTGGGGGAATGTAAAATGGCACCCTTATTTACTTCCGTCAAAGATCGACCCAAGAAGGAGAAACGCAATTAAAGACTCCACCTAGTGCAACCCGTGGAGGTGGATTATTCGTTACTCGGCACTCTGTACTCTCCTTTCTCTACAATTTTTCTTTCTCACCCAACCCCATTCTCTTTTGCATCTTGTTTGCCCGCGCTGTTTGTTTCTGGTAACCATGGGCGCACTGACGCAACTTAGAGGATCGAGGAAAGAAAAAAAAAAAGGGGGCCCGCGGGCTTCATTTTACGTTAATCCGGTATTTAATTTGAAACCCTGAGTGTTATATATTCTCGTGTTGGGAATTCAACGAATTCTAATTAAGGGAGAAAAATATCGGATGGCGGATATGAAATTTGAGTTTGCGATGTACTCGTTGCTGATGAAGAGGAATTAATTTACCTCTGGGGTAATTGAGGGATGATGACGTGTCGGGTGATCGTTCTAGGTGACAAGCATTGGGATATTTTGTTGCAGTTGCAGATGACTCGATGCCAACGTTCGCTGAACAGATTCAGAATGTCACTGTCAGTGTTGGACGGGATGCCCTGCTGGCCTGCGTTGTCGATAATCTCAAACGGTATCAGGTAAGTTATCGTAAAATTTTTGCATTCTTCTGGTAATAAATTGCATCCTGGAAATTCAATCAATCGATTCGGGGGTAGGAGTTACTGAAGAGAAAAATCCCAATGACATTTCTCATTGAAATTGAATTTCTATTCGATTGTATGAATTCAGGTAGCGTGGGTACGAGTGGATACACAAACGATACTCTCCATTCATGACAATGTGATAACACAAAATCCGAGAATCTCGTTGTCGTACAATGATCACAGATCCTGGTATCTTCACATAAAACGAGTTCAGGAAGTTGATAGGGGTTGGTACATGTGTCAGGTGAATACTGATCCGATGAGGAGTATGCAGGGCTTTCTCCAGGTTGTCGGTGAGTAAATTTTATTTTATTTTTACAGTTTCAACCATTTCACGAATGTTATACATTCTAAAAATTTCATTTACGTCTGTTCATTTGTCCCTTCCCTCTGTGGTTTCATGCACATCTCCAGTAAAAAAACTCGATGAGTAAACGTCTATGACAATTTCACGAAATAATAGTAATTTTTGGACTCATTGGGATTTTTTATTATGATGTATTTCAGAGACAACACGTTATGCTATTACCAAACCTCAGGGCACAATTTAGTATTGATTTATTTCCGTGTACGGTTAGAAAATTACTCCGAAAATTTCCAATAAAAGCAATCGCATATTTCGACAACCGTAATTTTACATGAGATTTATTTTCATTCGAAAATTCCGAAAGCAATTAACTTCTTGAATATTCAATGAAAATAGGTAATTTCCGGTTGATGCCACAATTAAAATCACTGAAAATAACCAATTACGTTCGTAAATTCTCAATCTATCGGAAATTCAATCAAATTTTACATTTATTTTCGCGACAAGCGTTAACCTTTTAAAGTTGAATTTAATTAGCATTCGCTAATTTTAAATTGTAAAATTTGACTTAAAAAGACATTAAGTAAATTACATATAATATATCGAATGTCTACAATAAATTAATTTTCATGTTTTTTTATCATGAATTTGCATTGCGATAAATGATCACAGAATGATTTTGAAAAATTAAAATTTCAGTGCCACCGAAGATAATAGCAAAGGAGACGAGCACAGATATGGTAGTTCGTGAAGGTTCAAACGTGACACTAGTGTGTAAAGCAACTGGCTACCCTGAGCCATATGTAATATGGCGTCGTGAGGACGGACTGAATATAAACTACAACGGTGAGAGTGGTGAGTACAGAATGTGAACTTGATTAGCCAGCTCGCTGGTCTGTTTAGTGGTTTATGAGAATCTCGAGCACGTAAACCTACCCCAGGCATAACCCATCCTAGAGTTTCCACCCAGTACCAGGGCCCAATCGACCATAATAGTCACGATAACCCGTTGGTAACCTCCACTGACTCTAGTCCTGTGGAAAGCCCCGTGGGTGTGGGGATTCGATAACGTGAACCGATAATGCATCAGATGAATAGTGAATGACATACCCTGGCTACATCGGGGGAAACACGAAGTATTTCGTTCGTTACCCCGAGCTTTGTACCTGTACGCATCCAATCGTTCGACGTTGACGTCCCCAGTCCCCATGGAGCTATCTGCATATTCGAAAAGCCCGCGTCAGTGGACATTTTCCATTTTTTTTTTCTTTCGGCTTTACGAGCCTCTACGTTTGCCACCCAAAAATATAGGGGAATCACTGGAGCTTGTTAATTGAGCTGACCTAATGGCAGGGAGAAGGACTTTTATTTGGATATTTCAAATATTTTTCGTCTTCACTCATATTTTTATCAATTTTTTTGAAATCTTTGACCATTGGTTTATGGAACAAATTTGATGCGATGAAGATCACGTTTTAAATTTAAATTCCGTCACACGTATCACATTCGTAGTTGAATTCAATTGATCACAATTACCGGAATGGACTAACGAATATTAAGTTATCCCCTCGGAGTGTCAAGTCGAATGAAAATAGATTTATGCACTGGGGATGAGTTGAATAGCCCCGTGAAAATACGAGAGTAGAACGTGTGGGTCAGCCACAGCCCTCCATACGGATAGTTCGATCAATTATATCGTTTCGAGTTACATTCACCAGTGAAATTAACTTCAGATGGCAAACACTTAGAATGTAATTATCCAGGGGCTGAATAGAACGTATAAATGAAGTAAAGAACTCAATCAATTTCCATTGACCATTGGGACATGAATATTAAAGTAATATTCAATTTTCCTTCTAATTTCCATCATTTTTATTTTATTCAATGAAATTCAATATTTAACATAAAACAATAAAAAAATTCATCATTCTCGCAATTTTTATCGCTCAACTGAAACTTCATTCCATGTGAATTAACGACTATTGATTTATATTCAATTGAACCAGTCGTTAACAGTTAATTTATTTTGTGCGGAATAATCGAATGGCAATTTTTCGTATTCAAACGCGAAAGATAATACTGAAATTTGTAATTATATCCATTTGTTTGTAAACAATCTGTTGAAAAATTCGATATGGAATCATTAATTCCAGCGATTTTCTTCTCGTGGAAATCTGAATATCTCGGTTATGCGATACATTTTCGAGTATCGATACACCGGATAAGAATTGTTTCCTCCCAGGGGCATGTCAATGCTAAGTTATCTTGGTGTTGCATGTGTAGAAGTTTGCCGGATGTCCTGAGGGATTTAAGATGTCAGGTAGCAGCTGGAGAAGGATGAAAAGTCTTTTTCTACTCGCATTCACATTCTCTCTCGAAGATTTAATACGATTTTCCCGGAATTATGATCCTGGGAAATCATCGATGGGCCAATGGTATCGCCGTGAGAAATATCAGGACCTCAATCATGGGAAAAATTTCATCGACTAATGCATTAACGTACGAGCTCAACCCGTATTTCAATATCATTATCCACCCAGGGCTCTGATAGTCTCCAGACGCCTTGGAAAATCTGGTTAAGTTCAACTTCTCATTTTCTTTCTCTTCTCTTGAGCTTCGGGCTACATTATCCACCGCGATGTGGAAAATTGAGAAGAATAGTGCTTGGTGAAATGTTCGGGGGAGGAATGAGGAGGTAAAAAGGATCTCGCTAAAATCGAAAAACGTACGTGGGTGAATCAAGAGAAATTGCTGGGGGAGGGAGAATTGGTCGAATCGAATTCATCTCGACTATCGAGTTAAGACTTGTGTTTATCTTGGATTAAATTCACTTCGTTCAACAAATACCTCTGGAAAATTCCAAGCAGGTGTCAAATTGCTGAATCTCCCTGGGTAAAAAAAAAATTGTAGTCGAAATAATTTTTTCAAATTTTCAAAAAATTTCGGGAAAATTTTTCAGAACATTTTTTTTATGAAACAACAAAAATATTTAAAAAAAACAAAAAAGCAATTTTATTTTTGGGAAAGGTTTCGAAAAATTTTTCAACAATTTAAATAGGAAATTTTTTTTTTACCTGATTCATACAATAATTTGATTAAAAAATTGATAATCAATATTTATTGGAGTAAAACCAGTTATTTTGGAGGGTAATACCCCAAATTCTGTTGCGATTTAAAAATAAGGGAAGTACGCATTACCTTGTATTTCCGTGGAACCCTCTCCCATAATTCCGAGAATGTCAGGATGCTTCCTGGAAAGTTCACATTTCCAGGCCAATGGAAACCATCGACATTGTGCTGGATCTCCAGGTCGCCGAGAAAAACTATTGGCTCTCCAGCCAACCTCGAGTCTCAATCCCCCCATCCTCCATTTTCCACATTCCTTACACGTGTACACATCTTAATTCGCCTTATCCCCCCGTTGTCACTCCATTTTCTCCACTCTCCTCGATTTTTCTCGAAAGAAAAAGCAACAGCATTGGGTATAATATCGTCACCAGTTGGACACGCCTGTCGGTAATCAGGACAGGTTAATCCCTCCCTATCTTTTTCCTGGACATAATTCCACGGTTCGCGAAATACGACACCAGCCTCCCACACGACCGGAAAATCGAAAGCGATAAGTTTTTATCTCGACACCTTTCGGCAAGTGTTGGACTCCGATACAGCGGAAATGTCCTGGAGGGCGTGGGAATCCGGAGGGCTTACGTCCGAAGCTTTTCCCCGGGAATGGGAAATGGTTTTTCTCCCCGTTCACAAACAAAAGGATATGGAAAGTTCGAGATCTAGAGGGTTTGGCAAATTGTTTTGCCGTGACTTTCTGAGGATTGCCATTGTGTATTTACAGTCAATCACTCATTCAGTCCTGAGTAAAAGTTGAAATTTCAAACTCCCGAAGATTCAGCGGGAAAACAAAAAACTCAAGGTAAATTTCAGTCCGGAAATTCCCCCGGTTAAATCTTCCGTTAAATCACCATTCATAAAAAAAAAAAAATTATAATCGGAGTATTTTTTCCAAATTTTTTAAAAATTTATGGAAAACTTTTCAGATAATCTTTTTTTTGAAACGAAAAAATCGGAAAATAAAATAATTTTATTTTTGGGAAAAATAACATATTTTGTTTCAAAAAAAAATTTCTGAAAAGTTCCAGAACTTTTTTTTTTTTATTTGTAAAAAATATTCCGATTACAATTTTTTTTAGCCGATACCCAGAAAATTGTGCGTTCTCTTTCTTTTCTCTGGCAAGTAGAAATCAAACGAAATAATTCTAGTGTAATTCCTGAGAGAGCACTTGATTAAAACTCGGCAAGTCTGTTTTCGAGTGGTTATATCGATGCCAACCTATGAATCCAGGCATATTATAATATACAGCATGCATTGTGTTTGTGAAACAATAGACCTGCTTGATCGGCGGATAACAAAGTAGAGTGAGAGGCCAACTGGCAGATAAAAAGAGATGGAAATGTGTGTATAGCCTCATCAATAACTTCACGTCGAACCCCCTATCCCTCCTTTGTTCCTTCCATCCTGTCCGCTTTTCTTATTTCTGTCACTCTTTTTTTTAAACAATAAAAAAAAAAACACCCAGCAATAATGCGCACTAAAACATCGACATAAAGAGCTGTTTCACTTAGAATTATTACTGCAGGTGTATATACAGTGCTGTGTTACAGGACGCAATAAAAAATGCCTTCAATAGAAATATAAAACGACTATTTCCCGAGAATTTCTTGAGTAGCCTCTTTTTATTTTTTCTTTCTTTTCAATACTATTTTCAGTTTTCTTTATGATTCCGCGAAACACCACCTGTCACGTCTACTCGACGAATCCGAGGGTAGAGCTATCGCAATGCAAACGGATTTTCAAGAATACGGATGGCAAAGTGCTCTTTGTTGTACGGTATCCAATGAATTTTTCCATCGCTGTTTCTCCTTTGTAATAGTTTGAGAGTAGAAAAGAAAAAAAAATTATCAGCTGGTCTCGGTTAAATCCCATCACAAAGACAGAAACCGGAAGCTCGCGCTGAAGAGGGAACAGTCACTCAGCGCTCTCTCGCGCGGGAAATTCAAATTCATTTAACCGTTGAATGATTACAACGCGCCTGGCACCCATAACTCACACTCCTCTCCCAGGAAAACCCATCAGCTGTCAAGACAAGAATAGTCCTCAGACTCTTTAAAGTCCCCTTCTTCTGAATCCAAGATGCACGGGGACAGGTAAAAAAGTTAGGCAGTGAAATGAGTTTTACGATGGGGGAGTTGTAAAAAAGAAAAACAGAGAGAAAATAGAGAGGACGGGAAAATAACGAGCACCAGCTAAATGGTCGCTCTCATCAGAATCACGCGGTGTCCTTCTTTTCATCGTGGAGAAAACGAAGTACTTTTCATTGTATAGCTACGGCATTTAACCGAGAAAACGTTTAATTCTGTGAAGTAACAAAGTTTACTGGACATTCTCCATTTTCCCGTTCTCCCCCTCTGAAATTTTCTCCCATTTTTTTTTTCTTTCTATTTTATTATTTTTTCTTCATCCCACTCTCTATCTCTCCTGCTACCTTTACTCACCGCATTCACGTAACATTTTTACGTCTTGAAGAGTCGGCTGTGCCGTGCGATTTTACGACTGGAGCATACCGCGACATTTCCAACTCAGCGAATGTTCCCCAAACCTTCACGATTCCTTGAGTGAGGGTTAGCCCAACGGTATTGCCATGCTTGAGTGGCACGCGAGTGGAACGATGGTAGGAAAATGTTTTATTGAAAGTCGTTATGGGTATATGAACTCAAAGGCCTCTTTTATCAGCGAACAACCGGTAGAGATAGATCGGAGAGGGATTTCAGATATTTCCATTTGCATCTACCGATTGTCCGTGGAATACGATAAATACATTCCCTTTGATGTTTCAGTGAGTGTTGTTAATGGAGAGGTGCTGCATATTGTTAAAATAAGCCGTCTTCACATGGGAGCTTATCTCTGCATTGCCAGTAATGAGGTGCCACCGTCAGTCAGTGCTCGAGTCGATGTTCGTGTTCAGTGTAAGTACTGCAAATTCAATTTATCTACATCATTAAATTGAACTCTTAAATATTGCAGGGGGAAATGAAGATATATTATTAAAAAATCGTAAATGTCACGTCTCGATTAAATGATTTGAGAAATCGATCAATCGGTTGTTGAATGAAAATGATTTTTCGTTTAAATAATTTTGGGGAATTTAATTGAATTGCCGGGGGTTTGAGGTGGTGATTCTGATGCCTTGAAGGCTTCCATTAATCCTAGAGTGAAACCCTGAAGTACCAATCGACGGACAAACTGATATCAATGAATGCAATTCCTCTTCCATTACGCCTCACAGCTCTTAAATATTAGTTCAATTGCCATGACTTCAGTTTATCCGAACTAAACTGCATCCTCGAATGATTTATTGTTCATCGGTATCGGCTGTATGACATGACACGAAACGGAGATGGTACTCTCCTACGATTTCGAGTCACGTATCAGCGGTAGCCAATGATAGAATGCCGGAGTGTTATAGAGATTGAACGAGACCGAGAAAGAGATGGCGAATGAAAAGCAGAAGTCGTGGGTTTGGGGTGGTACAGATATTCGGTAGATGTCCCATTCCTCGAGCGATTGAATACCATTGCAATGGAATCACTGTTACAGATACGTATAAAATCTATCAAATCGCCACCACTAGCTCCATCCGGAAAACGATCTGCAAAATTGTCATACGTTTGGATGATGGCTTTTTTTTAATCTTGCCCGTTTCAATTTTATCGGTCAACTGTAATTATCGTTACTGATACTCAACCCCTCGGTTTTCTTTATTGTTTTTTATTATCAATGGATCTTCAGTGAAGTGGATTTTCTCAGGTCGTGGGGGAGAAGTCTCCAGTCGACATCAAATGATCATAAAAAAAAAAATGTCGCGCTATTTTTTTTTTTCTTCTTTCACTTCGGCCCGACTTGAGAATTTTTCATCCCTCTCGTTTACACTGGAATCGCATTGGCTTACGCACACTGCAGACGGAGAGACCAGCCATGAGCAGTAAAACGTGATTTACGTCAACTCGTAAAGTTCGAAATTACTTTCAGGAACATTAAAGGTCGAGTTGATCAGAATCGATTTATATTTTTCCTTTTTGTTCTGATTTTGAATTTAATGATGCGAAATGGTTTGATTTATGCGGCTTTCATTCACCACTGGGAATTATTCTGGTGATGATGATTTTGGCTTTTTTTTATTTCTGGATCCTCTGTTCGCAGTCCCTCCGATGCTGTCCATTCCTAATCAGCTGGAAGGTGCTTATATCGGTCAGGATGTAATTCTGGAGTGTCATACCGAGGCTTATCCTACATCGATCAATTACTGGACAACAGAGGCCGGTGACATGATAGTCTCTGGTAATTTTATATTTAAAAAAAAAATTGAGGAAACCGTAGAAGATATTGTCATTATCTTGTTTACGGGAAATTGTTGAAAGAGATGTTTAACGATCGTTACGGTTACGACTGAGTTTATTCGCTGGGGAAAAACAACTTCGAGATACGTTAATTATCCTGTAATTATTCTACGGTCGTTATTGCCGTAATAAGTCGTATCAGCTGTTGGAATTGCGAGAAAATGCAATGGCAAATGTTATTTAACTTCAATGGCTTCTAAATATCTCTTTCAACTCGGTAAAATATTAAAAGAGCGTTCGGTCTTACTGGCCCAGACTATTACCATTCGATTGCAGGTGATAAATACGAGGCGTTGAACACCGACAACGGTTACAACAAATACATGGTACTAAAAATAAGAAATGTCAGCCCCAAGGACTTTGGCTCTTACAAATGCGTCGCCCAAAATTCCCTAGGTGGTACAGATGGTGTCATAAAATTAGACGGTGAGTACCTAGTGTCTGTACTGTAATGGATATTACCACTGCGTTATACCTGAAGGATCAATGCCTCAGCCCCTGAATTACTGAGATTCAATTGTCCAATGGACAATGGATCACACCCTCTTGATACGTTATAAAGGATAGGGGATGAAGCTACACTGGAAACAATTACATTCAACTCGATTAAACAATCAATGCATCAACAATGGGGGATATTATTGATTAGCGATAATTTGGAATGACTGAAGAAATGGACTTTTGATGGGAAGGGGCAATTTGAATTGCCCTCTGGGGTCTGTTATTTTTGCCGAGCAGTGAATGATCGTGGGGAATCTGATATATTTAACCGTTTCGCGTGGAGAGTCAGCGAATTCTCTCTCTTTTTTTTTTTTTCCTTTTTCGGCCGTCCACTCATCCCTCGATGGTACGCCGACGAATATAAATTGGTCGGAATTAAAAGTCCGACGAGCAATTTCCCCCACTGATTGCGTTATCGGGTTGTGGTAGAATAGAGATGGGGGGGCTGGAAACCCTCTCCAATGGGTCTGGAGAATGAGTGCCTGACCGAGCACGAGGATTCGGTTAATGTGATTCTTCATGTTATGATTTGGTTCCTTTGGCGCCCAACGAAGGCATTTAAAAGTCATGAATAACTGCACGTAACGGAATGAGAGAATCCGGACGATTTTCGTAATATGAGAAGGAGAATGGAAATCGATCTCGAAATATCTCGAAATTATTGAACAAATTTTCCTAGACTAGCAATAAAATTTTAAAAATTTATTTCATTTTGAAAATTCATTCATTTCATTCAATTCAAACTAGAGCGCGCGCTTTCGCAATGCGCGCGCACCTATTAGGTTAGATTTGGCGGGAGCTTTTTGAAGGAGCAAAAATGGCGGGTAATTGACGAGAAAGGATAAAAAATCGTGAGCGTTCTGATGTAGTTCTGAAATGGAAAAAAATTCTGGGAGTTGAAATGAAATATTAACAATATCTCCCGTAATATAATTGTCAAATATTTGCCACCGCAACTTCATCATGGAGTACTTTGATAAATGAATAAAGATATAATGAGGCCACACGCTCGGTTGAGCCAATTAAAAGTTTCTCCTGAAACTTGTATAATTCACGTTAAATGGAAATATCGGTCGTTTTGTGAAATGCTTGAGTAAACGAGTTGAGGTGGAACGAGACAAGGAGGAAATGAAACTTTTCAACTGTTTTTCAATACTTCACTGGGTAAATGTGTTATGTATCGATTGTATTCTCATCTGTTGCAGAAATTCCAGCTCCATCGACAACAACAACACAAGCAACGTACCATGTCACGTCATTGATGAAGAAAAATGGTAACATGTTTTTCTCATTTTCATCTCACTGCCTACTTTTTTATTGTCCAACGATTTATGGGAATGTTTTGATTAAATTTTTACCAGGTAGGAGTAACAAAAAGCACAGACAACGGCCAAATGATTACGAAGTCGAGGAGTGGCGAGATGCTGGTGAGAAAATGATTTTTCATTCAGTTAAATAAAACGGCAATTATTTCTGACATGATTCATTGACTATAGCGCTATTTTTGTACTCCATCGATGCTTACCGGCGATTATTTTTGAAATTCCGTTTAACTTCTCGAATAGTACAAATATATCTAAGGGATAATCACTTAACGTCAATTTCCATTACTCCATGACATTAATTCTTAAATGGAATTAATTTTGCATTGAGGAACTCGGTCACTGATTCATTCCGTATGACTATTGATCAAAATGGACAGACCAACTGCGCCGGAAATGATTTATGATTAAACATTCGATCGGATAACAATCCCAACCGATCACTCCCCGAAGTTTCGTCAGTACTTCATTAATATTCCACACGCGTAACTCCATATCTCCCCAAAAAAATATTCAACTGTCGCTCAATTCCAAATGATCGTGCAGTCCGATATTTGTCTCGTGGAAAGATTACAAGATAAAGTTTTCCGAAATAATCCATCTAGAGGAATCCTCAGGAATAATTCAAGTGCTCATTCGGATTTATTTCGGGTGATATCGAGCTATCAGCCCCACCAGGTGGACACCCCAGGCAATCCCTCATAATTCATCACTCGTTCCAATGACAACGCCAGCCCCTAGATGATCCCCTTGAAAACTTCAATTAATTAATTATTCGACACACATAAATATCATTCAACATTGATTCCACGAATGAAGATGTTGTGATACCGAATTGGAGATCTTTACGAATGAAACAATTTGTTTGTCTCCAGTGATAGAGCGCATGTCAGACCTCGACTCCTTGGAGAATGCAAAATGTGTGAAAAGAGGGGAATAACAGTGATTTCCACAGTGATTTGTCGGGTAAAACGAGCCCAAGTGTGTTGTTTCTACTTGCAGATTACGACAGGGACTACGACTCGACGAAGAGGCCGCACAGCGATGGGGAATACTCAAGCCTTGGGACAAGACTCTACCCAGAACTATTACTAGCTGTACTACTCGTACCCCTCATCTATCTGTCCGTAAGAAGGTGATTCTTGGGACATGAACGAGTCTTCCAGTTTGTATTCAATGAGCGTGAGATTGAGGTACGTAATGCGTGACCACAACCGCGTTATAAAAATGTGATGCGATTCGACCATTTATCCATCATTTAATCTCCTATTTTGCGTCTTGATGGTGCGGGTACTACCCGGGCTATTCAACCATCAGTCATGCTAAAATTATTTTCGTACAAAATTTAAGGAGTATGTAAACATGAGGACAGATGAGGATTCAGCATGTGACGGGTGTGAGTGATTATAAATATGAGAGGATTTATATATATATGATATTATACAGAGAGGATATATATACAAGGGATTATTGAGGGAATGGCTAGATTTTTTGCGTAGGCTGCTAAGTGCTTAGGGGCTGCATTTGCCCAATGCCGTCGTCGTTGTTTAAAATTAATGTGGGGGGGCTTATTGTTCGTGTGGGGGGAGGAATATTCACGTGAAACCAGTGATGGACAAATTTTATTATTAAAAATATGAAAAAACTCATTCCATCAGCCCTCGAAAGATTTACAGACTCGGATTTTTACAAGTCTCAATTGAAACAGCACTTGGTAAAAATAATTGAAAAAATTTTTCACTGATATTAATGGGAATATTTCCCCTCCCATGTGATACCGCGCGCATAATTTTCCGTGATATAAGAATGAAAACTCGAATAGAATTTATTTTCTGATATTTTTGAAACTGTTGTTGCTTGACCTGATATTATGCATGGATACAGAACTTGTTTGAATCAATAGTAGACTTTTTCGGGTTGAAAAAGAACACGACAAATATGACGAAAACCTAATGTCTCTTTTTTTTTCTGTGCTCTGATTTTATGTTATTCCATCTTGTATAAATGCGAGGAGGGGGTAGCGCTCATGGACTTTGTATGAAACTGTCAAGGATAAATATGCATGAAATGTGTAGAAAAATCCGGTTGGGTGCGTCCCGAAGTACCGGAAGTCACGACAAGTGATTTGGAGAAAATCTTGTCGGTTTGCTGCTCGTTTTTTTTTTGGGGAACGGCTTACGTAACACGAAAGTCACTCTGAAGTGGCGGGCCTCGGTGTTGGGGGAATTGCACGCTATGAGAGAGAGAGATTTTTCGAAAAGATGAGATAAATCCGCGAGACGCAAGTCCCACGGAGAAATCTTCTCTGATGCTTAATTGCTTAGTGAATTCATGTAAAAAATTGAGTTAAAAAATTATTCGTCGTTCCATTGTTACGCATTTCTAGAGATAAGTAAATAATTTATGTTGGAATGCACGAGCTAGAAGGGATTGTTACACAGAGAGAGAATGAATTTCTTGTCGTTGCAACTAAAAATTGAAAAACTGATTAAAATAAAAAAATCTTCTTTGTCTGTGTAATTAAACGAGGGATGGAGATGTTACTGGAGGAAAAATTCTAATAGATAAAAATTGTAGTCACGTTTCTTTCCCTGTTTAATTGTGACTGTTGATAGCGAACGAGTACGAATAATCGAGGGAATAATAATTGGATAAATATATGCGGAAAATTGTTTGGGGGAGAGAAGAAAAAAATACGAGTCGTTTAACGAGTGAATTATTATTTCGGTGAAAGTTGTATATACGGAGATATAATTGAACCAGCCTGTGTAAATACGCATTTATCCCTGCTCGTTAGCCAGAGTGTTGAAGCCCTTGTAATTATTGTCGGACTCGACCTTCAGCGTGATTGGAAATATCGATTAAGTAGTCAAAATATGGATATATATGGGTCTTGAGTGTTGTGAATTTATCCGAATCGTCTGATTCAATGTGTAAAATATGTGAAGAAGAAATAGTGAAGAACAATATGCGTAAGTTTTTTACAATGATTTTGATTTGACAATCATTTTTAGATTGACACAGATATTTCATTCATCCAATTATTATTTATTTGAGAATACTTGTTCATCATCGTGATGAAAATTCTTCAATTATTCTCTCGATTAATAATTATAATCGCGATGAGCTAATCACCAAATCAGAAATCATGCTTTCGAATAGATGATATATAATAAAATGATAAGTTTTCTGAAAACTCTCGAAATTACTGCCAATCATTTTCCGATGAATGAATAATGCGCAAGTAATTAAGTAATTATCTGATAATGAATTCCGAGTGCAAGCGATAATTTCTATAATTTTCGTTCGGTGACTGATGAATTATTTCTTCTGTTCCCCTCCGAAAAAAAAAATAAAAATACATAAATAAATAAATATCGTAAGAGTGGAAACTGAGGAGGGGCTGATTTTGTGTGTTGACTCCTCGTTGGAAGAAGATAAATAAAAATTGTAATGGATCTATAATACTTCGGCGATTAGTGATGAAAAAATTATCATACATATGAATCATTGTACTCATGATGTAGATATAACTGAGAATTTGTTGTAATTATTACATTGCATAAAAAATGAACAGATAAGTGAAAAAAGAAAAAAATATAAGAAATATAACGATATTAAATAAACAATGGGACTTTATTTTTATCCCCTCAATTTTATATATATCAACATCCCTTTTTCGTCTTTCAGTTTATCCTCGCCTTCGTACATGATACGATCAACGAGTTTCGTGATGCTACGTGGCCCCAAACGTATATACATACCCATGTGTCCCTATGTACTGAGTGCCATGTACCACTGTATCCAAGCGCAACGTGAAGTTTCGAGGCCCATTGGATTTGGCAAATTCGATTTCTCTCTTCGAGGCCCCCAGTGCAGGATACGGAAATCAGCATTATCCGGCCGGACTGTGGTTCGGCTTTTCCAATAGGATTTATACATATATATACCGTAGGTCCACGTGATAAATCCATATAGGGGAAATATATTGAGCGACTTTACTGTTTCAATCAATTTTTATACAGAAAATGAGATATTTTCCCGTATTTTATATTATTTCATCTCAATCGTGCAACGATTGCGTTGTGAGGGTCAAATGGTTTAGCAGGTCAATAATTTTGTCAGTCCAGTGACCATTTTTTGTTGTTTAAAAAATTTTATGGGTCAAATTGTCCTGTGGGTCAACACTTTCAGACCATTTGATCACAACGACGACTTGACCCACAAAATGGAAAAAAATTACAATAATAAAAGATAAAATTTGGTAAACAAATCAATCATCAATGAGGCCAGTTATCTCTCGTCCCTCGAGAGCCCTTTCTGTACTAGCTGTTGAAATTTGCCCGCTGGCCATTTCCACTGCACCCCTTTCAGACGTACGATGTATATAAAGAGTATGGGCAGTTTGAGCTACACTACTGACCACAGGACGAAGCACACCTCGAGCACTCCGAACCACGACAAGTGATTTTAATTACCGTCAGCTCGCTCAGAACCACGACAAACGGCTGGGTGAAAACAGGAAATGAAGCTGTACATGGTGGAGTAGTTGAACACTGGGAAGAGAACTGTGACGAGGGGCTACTGATGAATAACTTAAACCCAACGTACTATTTCTCGACTAACGTGAATATTTGCCGAGACGATATGACAATTGCATACGGTTATTATTACTGGGTTAATTTTCCAAACTAAAGGCTAATCCAGTGGAGAATTATCACCCACACCAAGGTATTACACCTATTGTATTGATGATAATTATTAACTGAATCACGGAAAATATGGTATGATGGTAGTCTCATCGAGTTAACGCATTTACCAACTGCAAATTGTTACTCATTGAAACACCACACGGATCATTCATTAATCCAATTATATTCCAGCAGTATTCATGATTAATTATTGAAATGCCACGGTAATTCGCCGTGTTCGGTGTTTCTCGGAGCACTAGAACAATCAAACGCAATTACTCGTCCATTCAGCTGTTATGGACCAGTGGATAATGAAAATTCAACGCTGAATATTAATTTCACGTGTTATCAAAAAAAAAAAAAAAAAAATCGTCACTATTTCCATGATTAATTAGCAGTGAAATGATAATCCCCTTTCCCTTGTAGAATAACTTAGTATCTGGTGGTGGAGTTTACCGTAAAATCTTGAGGCTGAGATCTATCTTGGAGGCCGATTGGTGCACCACCGGATCGAATGCAATTTGGAAAGTGTCTCCCGACTAGGCCACCTCCAGGGAAAAGCTCTACTTCCAAGTAAAACCGAGACTTTCACGTACGGTACGTAATGCCAAAGCACGCGCGTGTGAACACACGACCTATCTTCTATCCTCGGGTACAATCATCTCTCTCTCGGTATCCTTTCCCCAGTGGATGTTCCCTCAAACTTGCTAGCGTATACTTTGAAAAGTCTCTATGGCCTGCGGCCGTCACACAGTCAAGTCGGTTAAAGCTCTTCTGGGAGTGCCTATATTCGATGCATCCGGCCATTCCACTTCACATTCGCTCTCTCGAGTTCTCTAATGTCCCCTCCAACACACTATCACTGTTTGCCCGTCCACGGGGAGGGGAATTAGTGGCGGTTTATTTTTCTACGTTTATAGATTATTCCTGGGATCATAAAAATATGCTTTATTACCCGGTATTCGGGGGGTATGGCCAATAAAAACACGAGGACTATTAAAAAAAAAGGAGGGAGGAATAATGAAAACGAAAAATTGAGGGAAAGGGATGGCACGGGGGGAAATGATAAAAAATAGAGTGAAGGGCTTTTTGAAATATGGAGCAGAACGCACCAGCTGACGGGTAACATGTCACATTATTTTTGCACGCGGTGATGCAACACCGACTGAACAGGACCAGTCAGCGGAATCCGCAATAAACGCACTATTTTTTTTTTATTCAACGTTTTCCCCTAGTCTGTCGTTTTATTTGTCTATTATACTGCGGTGGGAAATAATTCTCTTCATCACTCGGCAATTGGAATTAATCTCCCAGCCGCTGGTGTCCCCAGGTAAATTTCCTTGGTGGAATAAACTTTTGTCTGTCGTCCGGAAATCAATTGAACTGCTAAATTGGCAAATAAAAAAATGACACCCATTACGTTTGAGCGCACCTCAGAATTTATAATTTGATATCCACCAACTGAGAAAGGCACTTGATTATCCTTTAGGTACATATCAAATTATCGCAATTTCGAAGATGTAATGATTCGTCTCGAGTGGCCAATTAGTGTTGCCAAGCCCCAACACATTAATCCTTCCTACAAGTTTGAATAGCTAGCACTCACGTACATTTGCCCACCCCCTGAATTACAATCGCACGAGCAGAGTCAGCTTAATCACCACAATTGACTCAATTCCCCATATTTACAATTCCCTAAAAATATTTCCCCAAATTATCAACCCAACAAAATTTTCCAATCCAAAAATAACCATCAGCATAACTTCTCCCACAATATTTTCATCTTCCCTTGGCCATTGAAATTTTTCCACACCGAGATGGATCGATAATCGTGGAAAATGGCCGTAAAATAATTTTCACTCCCCCTGAACTTTAACCGCTCTCAGGCTTTCCAGAAAGTCCGCAGCACAGCCAACTTTTAACCATTCACATCTATATCGGTGAAATATTAGTACGACCGTAAGAGAAACCCACCGGTGTGAAAATACTATCGCTTTCCAATAATATAAAGAATCGCAAAAATCCCACCAAGAGTGCAAAAGAGATCGGTTACGTGGGGGGGGAAGGGGGGTAGGGGCTGAAACTGAATATATTGTCCAAAGTATCCATGCAGGAGAGCCCTTACTCTCTTTTGCATACTTTCTTTTTCTTTCAATCCCCGAACGATTCCACTTTCTCAGCCATATGGTGGCCCGAGCGTATTTCATATTAGAGGCCCTTTTTTTAAACTCACGGGGACACATTTCCCCGAGTCCCCCCTCCCCACCCCAAGACTCGTATAAATTCATACTACAGACCAGTGAATAATATTCGATCCTCCCATTGCCTGACCATAAAAACCCGAAATTCTCCCCCCACGAGTCGCGAATTAAGTGAATAATAACGCGATATTTATTGGAGCAAATAATTTTTATAATAAAAAGGTCTATTCTAAATTGCCGCTTGTAAAAGTGAAACGGTAAAAGAGGGAATATTTCACACATACAGTTGAGAAACAGCACAAGTGGAAGAAGATGAAGGAGATGAGAGAACGAGGTACGGAAAAACCACTTTTTGCGGGAACTGCACTGACACACAGGGGTAGAGGGAAAAACCCGTCCGGGGTAATATCTTTTAGGGGTCGAAAGTGCACACAGTCCAGCGGGCGTATATGGACCCCCTATCGCACCATCGTAAATCCTCCAAGACCATTTTTGCCCTCTCCCTCGTTTTGTCAGTCGTACAGTTCCTCCTGTTACCTTGCGTATTACTTCGAGTGTAGATGACTCGAGGATTTACCACTCGGACATTACTTCCACACGCCTCGGCGAAAAATATCCCCCCACGATGATTTTTTTTTTTATCCCCCTCCCCTGATTTTTTTTTCTCCTTTTCGGACCCACCACCCTATCTTGTCCCTCTATCGGCCGTTTCCCTCGTACTCTAGGACATCGTTTCGATAACGATATAAAGGAAGACTGAGAAAACTCCATCCCGAGGGGCGGTAAAGGCTTGGGGGTGGGGTATAATAATGTGGCATATATCTGTACGTGTATTTGGCAAGGCAGTTGCCAGACTATTTCACCAAAATACTCCTTGAGGAAAGGGAGAGAATAAGAGTTTGGACTCACTCACTCGCTCGGGATATTTCTGTCTTGCCTTTTTTTTTTTATTTTTCTACACCGACCGCTATAACCGAGCTTTAGTACTTCCGCATCATGACATAAATCACGTGCAGAGGCTTATGCAATAATCAGAATGTAACACCGTTGTTAATTGAACCTATCTTACCTCTAAAGGGGGAGGTATTATTACCGCACGTTTTTCAGGTGGGGGGAAATATTTCGAAGATTTTTCAAGACGTGACGGCAATTTATGGAGTTGTTCATTTGATTCTTTTTAACCCTTCCTGACCTTTTTTGGGTCTCCCCTCATAGGGGCCTGTTTACCTTCGATTTTAACCCACACCAGATTTTTTTTTTGGGGACTCAGGGAGTATTTTTCGTTGTGGACTGGGTCAGTTTGATCCAATCGAAGATATATGCAGGGGAATTTATATTTTTGGACAGGGAGACAACAGCATAACGGAAAGTTTTGAGTAACGCAACAGAACCTCGTTAATCTTCACTAAAGGTGCGTCACACTAATGACGGAGGCACCCCGATGCGCCCATTCGTGGGGTGCACACATTGCATGAGGTACAGTGGAAGGGCGTAAGTTCTACCCATGGATGCCTCTACCTCAGTTTCGAATTAACCGTAATGGAATAACGATCTCACGTTCACCGCGAGTATAATGCCTGACAAAACGGCACCCGCTTCTCCATTGAGGAGGAGGTACGTAGGAAAGGGGAGGTAAAACTACAAGAAAGCACACCCTCAACTCACTTCGTCTGGCTTAGGCCTTTATTTACGACCTCAACCGCAACAATT